GGCGTTCGGGTTCGGGCGTTCGGGCGTTCGGGTTCGGGCGTTCGGCCCTTCCCGAACGCCGGTTACCCTGTATGTATTTATATATTTATATGCCCTTTGTTTTTTATGCGGGTGCGATAATCACCCCTCAATTTTCCATGATATTATTTATTCTTTCATGAATCCCTTGATCCCCCCGGACCTCTTATTCGCTCACATTCCTTTCACTAGAAAACGAGCATTAGTCCAAAGAGAGTACTTCTTCCTTTTCCCTTTCTTTTGAAGAGAATGATTTCCCTCAAGCTCAATCAAGACCCATTCTGTCAAGGTTCCGGCAACCTCAACTAGTATGCATGTGTGTGTGTGTGTGTGGCCCTCCCCTAACCCGCTGGGGGAATTCGGTCAATGAGGGTCAGGGAGGATACCTGACYCTCAAGGTCTGATATCCCCCCAGCATCCCTTTYGCTAGAAGCCCTTCAAGGGGGATCTWTTTATTGCYGAAAGGACACARCACGAAACACACACACTCAGAACACTCACGCATTTATTATATCTTTTTGACACACAGGAGATAAAACTTATCAATAACAACCTCTTCGTGTTGGAGCCACAGCATCGGAAATTCTGGAATAATCGCGGGTGGTCAAGGACTTTCAACGCTTCCCCCTTACATCTCGGCTCATCGAAACCATTCTCAACCATCACGCAGATCAGTTGCTATATATCTCTGATGACTGCAGAGGACGAGGACTTAAGGAGCATGATCAATGGAGTTTGAGAGATGATTACGTTCATCGATTGTCTGATTGGTTGGTTAGACGCAAACGTAACGAACCTGGTTGGTTTAAACTTTAGAGTCCGCGTTTTGTCGTGCCTGGTAGTGACAAATTGCCTGCTGGAATCCGGAATTAGCAGGATAACTAGGTGCAAGAATTGGGCTAACGTACCGTAGATCAATCCACCAGGTCCCCTCGTGAATTCCCTCGTTTGGTTCTTAATTTCAATGACGTCGGGGGGTAGATCCAGAACGGGTTATCACTTGTCCTAGGTTGCGGCGGATTCCAATAATTTCAAAATTGCTGGATTGTTAATCACATGCACATCATCAATATATATGTACGCATATCTAAACATAGCTGCAAGCTCAAAGGCCTTAAGTTTCAGCAATCTCATTATGAACTTAAATTCGTACTTAAAAAAATAGACATTACACCAAATTGGTGAGCAGGGGAGTTCCATCGGGATTCCCTTGACTTGTCTCCATACTGAGTTGCCGAACATCGTATAGCAACGCTTCAGAATCCACTTGCACATCTCAATGATTCCATCTGCACCAACAAGGAAGGAGCTAGCGGTGGAAGATGATCCACTTCTTATCATAGAGCATCTGACCTCTCCATTCCGCTTAAAAGATACTCTGAGGGATGTGCATCCCGAGACTGATCTCATGTGTGAAAAACCAATTTTCACAAAAAATTGGATCGCATTAATCAGGTCATCCGGAGAATCATCAATCGGGATGTTCTCAAAGCATTTCGAAATATCAGCGGAAAACATAGAATAAATTTCGTTAGGCAGGTTATAGGAGTAATCTTGTATGCTGTCCATTACCCACCATCTCGTTGTCTCTACTCCGTGGAAAGCCTTTGCTGTCTTTATCGCGGCACCGCAGTGCTTCATAACCTCCTCCTTGAGTGTCGCCAGTGTTGCATCCACTACTTGAGACAGGGGCGTAAGGAATGAGTCAACAGCATTTGTCAACCATCTAAACGTCATTTTATGCAGTTTGAAAATCGCCATTAGATTGGAATCTGATCTCACTCGTGGAAAACTCTTCTTCATTGTTCTAATCGCCTCATCCAGCAACTGCTCCATTGGTGCATTCGAAAATTTAAAATCTGGGCTAGATAATCGCTCAACAGCCAAGGCGCGTATGAGGTGCTTGCAGACAAAAAAAGGGGTATTCGCCGCTTTGTGTGTTCCTGCAACGAAGACATACTTAGTCAGGTTCTTGATGTCACTCTTTATTTCAGCAGGAACTTTCCTCTTAGAATATCTTCTTAATTTCACAGCAAGTTTCAAAGTTATCATGGTCCTGACTAGTCCAGTCATGTGCTTCAACAGATCAATCCTCCTGCGCCCACATGTTTGGAGGGCATGCAGGAGATAACAGTTCATAAGACACTAGACGAATCCGTTAGGCTTTCTTCTCATCTCGTCATTTCACAGGACTAGCAACTAGACACGAGCAAGATAGGTTGGAAAATCTCAGCCGCAGGTAAGGAAGTTATGAAAGTCCCGCTGCAACACTACACCTTCAGAATAGGATATAATCTTCACTATGAGGCTCATTCCATCCAGGCAGGTTTAATAGCTAATTGGCAACATAAGGTATCATCTCTGAAACTCAGACCAATTTCCCCATCCTTGGTGGTTTTTTCATCCAACTCTTAATACTCTCGTCATTGTAAACTAAAGTCGACGGTCTTCAATGGCTGCATCTTCACTCTTGTGTTCCCACAACCCTTTGGTGCTCAGAGAAAGGTATGGTTATATCAACAGTATGTGACGCCTGCTCCCATCCGTCTCTAGAAGACTGGCTACACCCATGGTGGGAATGCATCATCGCTAGAGGATTATGGGAATTTCTTAACTCCCTCTGGGAGAAAGCTTACGCCGTAACAAACTTCTGGAATCTAGACTTCGTTCTTACAGGCAGGGTACCTGCCTCATTCAAAAACCAGCAGGTAGACACAGTATCTYAGATATTTAGAAGAAGAGTTTTTGGTCCTTATGGATAGCAAGGAGAGACAAAAGATTTCTCAACTCTAACCCATCTCTCTCATCCCTGGTGTCCAACTTTAGGCATTCTCTAAGAACAGAAATTGTTGCAGACTGGTTCAAAATCAAACGTCAACTTGGAGCTCAGGAGGTAGCGAAGGAAATGGTCCCGCTCATTCAAATGGCCAGGGATAACTACGGAGAGTAGTTTAATCTATGTAGAGCAACTATGGAGCTACCATCCCAGTCCTAGTTCTTCATCTTCAACAACTGACAGCTCATAGCTGAGAGGGACTGGTAGTGATGATAGAGAAACAAGATAGGCTAAGATGTTTCCTGAACTGCTTCAGGCCAGGTACACCCGGTAGACTGAGGGGACCCCGGCCCTAAGGTTCCAAGCAAGTTTTATAAGGGACGCTGGGCCCGGTTCCCAGCATAAGATGCTCCCCCACAAATAAGAACGGAGCCATTTGTATGCAAAAA